ATTTATTTTCAAGATGATAACTAGATGCCATGTTCACATGCATGTGATGAAGTCATCTCAAACAGTGTATCGTATTATTGATTTAAAGGTCAATTAATGCAAAATGCATTGCATACTTCAGTATACCATAGGCAGTATATTTACACCTTGCAGCTAGGTCTTAGATCTTATATGTCAAAGACTTGATCCTGGTTTTCTAACTGGTTTGGATGTTTGAAATATACTTGATGATATAATCTTTAGTCAAACATTGACTTGTCAGTAACAATAAAGTGGGAAGTTTGTAATTGCAACATGAAGTAACTCTTCCGTCTCTTGTAGTGAAACATTGACAAAAGAGCAGGGGAATGTTTACAAAGCCACAGTTGCATTAGCTTACGAAATGTCATTGTAACTTGTGAAAACTGGCCTGTGGTTTGCTTTAGAGCATCTTTAGCATCGGCTGGCTCTAAATGACGAAGTCCGTGGTATCCACCATTTTTTTTGCAATGTGGAAGTAAGCTCTGTGAATGTGTGAGACTTATAGGTAAATAACTAGAAGAAGAACAAAGTGCAGTAAACACCAGTGTGTTTATGATTGGTAACACATTAAAATAATATAATAAGAAATACTAGTTTGCGATATCAAGCAGTGTAACAAGCTGTTTTGTACAACTAAAATAGACAAAAGACACAGGAAGCCTTGCACATTCAATTAAAAAATTGCTGCGCCTGTTCTTACGTTAAAAATAAAGTGGTTATTTTCGAGGGTGATAACAAATGTCCAAAATAGGGGCCTAAATGTACAATTGTAGTGTGTCTTTCTGTACTACTACCAGCAACAAACACATTTGGTCGACCATTCTGTGCATGTCAAGCTGGGAAATATCTAAAAACGGCTGTAAGTGCTGATATTATTCAGACCATTTTTGACCTTAATTGGAGAAAATGTGGGAATAACACAGTTGTGCAGTTTAGCAATCTACTAAGGGGTCCTCAATATGACTTAAAATGATTAATATCATCAAGATAAGCTAAAACAACTAAAAATCAAGATGTTGCTTATTTTGAAAACGATTACCTTTGAAGAACCAAAGTTATGTAAATTAATCAAATATCCAAATGGCATGGAGTCCTGAAATGTAATTATTTCTATTTTATTTCATTTACAGAAACTACGAGTTTCCGTAGACCAAAAAAAATCAAAAATCATTTTGAGTGATTATGCAAACACATCGTTGAATCGGTTCAGAATCGATTCTTTGAAATGGACAGTGTGAACCGATTCACAGAAATTAATCAAACTTGCCACATTTTTTGCTTACAAAGGTTATTAGGGAAAATAAATGTGAAATATATTGTCCAGCTCTAGGGAGGAATATCCAGATTGATCAGTCTGGTTCACAAATATCTGAAGACTTGTGTCTGTATTGCCTCTCGCAGTACCTGACCAAGCAGGTGGATCTCCTG